CACCATTCACCACGTTGTTTTCTTTCTCTTGTAGGATATCTTCTATTATTTGAAAAAGATTCACCTTGATGCTCTCCAACCTTCTTTTCTTTTGAACCTTGTCTCTTCTCACTCAAAGGTTGGTATTCCTCATCATCATCATCATCTTCAACTTCTTCATTATTTTTCATACCAATTGTATACACTTTCTTCTTCTTCTTCTTGATCTTCTTTTGTTCTTCATGTTGATTCAAATCTCCACTATCTTCATTATCTTCATCTCCTTCTTCTTCTTTCGTTGCTGAAATTGAAGATGTGTCCACAAACACACCATTACTTCCACTTGGACACATCTCCAAGTGCTCACAAGCACTTTTATGCTCCATAAATTCAACATCACGACTTTTGATAATCTTCTTGGTATCCAAACACATTAGCCTATATGCCCTGGTACCTTGACAATATCCAAGAAACACACATTTTGTACCTTTTGCATCAAATTTGGACCGCATACATTCTGGTACCTTTGCATAAGCAATGCATCCAAAAGTCCTCATGTATGAAACACAAGGTTTCCTCCCACTCCAAGCTTTTTGTGGAGTCATTGATGTAAGTGCATTTGTAGGACACCTATTCCTTGTATACACTGCATTCACCACAGCTTCCGCCCAAAATTCATGCCCAAGGTTTTGAGCATGAATCATACTCCTTGCCATCTCCATAATAGTTCGATTTGCTCTTTCAGCAACTCCATTTTGTTGTGGAGTATAAGGAGTGGAAGTTTGTCTTGCAATACCATGAATCTTCAAATACTCATCAAAGTACTTTGACAAATGGTCACCTCCATTGTCTATACGCAACATCTTGATCTTGCACTCACATTGCTTCTCCACAAGTGCCATAAATTCCTTAAACTTTGAAAAGCATTCACTCTTGGATTTAAGGATGAAAATCCACACCTTCCTTGAAAAGTCATCAATAAATGTAACAAAATATCTTGATCCTGCCATTGATGGTGTCCTCATAGGTCCACAAACATCAGAATGCACAATCTCCAATGATTTGGTTGCACGTGTTGCAACTCCACTTGGAAATGAGGCTCTTTGTTGTTTGCCTTGAATACAACCTTCACAAGTAAGATTTGTGCATGATTGACCAAGATCTAAGCCACTAACCATGGATTGGAGCTCTTTCATACTTTTGGCGTTCAAATGATCAAGGCGTCGATGCCAAATGCCAAACTTGACTTGATCTTGTGGAAATTCAGCAAATGCCGCCACTTCAACTCCATTCACCTTCTTACAATTGATGAAGTAAAGATTGCCATCTCTAAAGCCTTTCAAAAGATTATCTCCATCCATTGTCTTCACAAAGCATCCATTCATATCAAATTGCACCTTACAACCATGAGAAACAAGTTTACTCACCGAAAGAAGGTTTTTCTTCATCTTTGGCACATGTAACACTTCCTTCAATCTGATCTTCTTCATTTGATTCTTCACAACAATCTCCACCACAATGGAGCCAATTCCAATGACTTGCACCATGCCATTATCTCCTAACCATACTTTTGTTGTTGGAATAGTCTCATAAGTGTCAAATGAACACTTGTATGGAGTCATGTGCTTGGTAGCACCCGAATCAATGATCCATTTGGACATGGCAGCCATAGACGTGCCTTCATTTGCCATGAATGCATAATCATCTCCACCAACTTCATCACATGCATTGTTAGCATTTTCTCTATTTTCTTTCTTGGCCTTGTAGCAATTTTGCGCAAAATGACCCGGTTTTCCACAAATGAAGCAAGTTCTTGCATTGCTTCTCACATTTTCACGTTGGTTGGAATAGGTACCTTTGCCTTGTCTTGAGAAGAGAGCTGAATCTTCACTTTGATGCTCCTTCTTTTTCCTTTTAGTTACTTCATGTACAAGTCTTGATGTCACATAGTCCATTGTAAGCTCTTTCAACCTCAAAGACTCCAATGCCACAATGAGGTAGTTGTAGGACTTTGGAAGACTCATGAGGAGAGTCATGACAATATCACCATCCTCTAAAGGCTTGTCAACAATTGCGAGTTGATTTGCAAGAGCCTTTACCTTATTAACATGTGCCATGAGATCTTCACCTTCTTCCATCTTACAAGTGAAGAATTTCCTTCTTGTGAAGAGGATGTTGGACAAGTTCTTGCTCTCATATATGTTGCAAAGTGTCTTCCATGCTTTCGCTGGTCCTTTGCAATGGATAATGTGAGAAAAGTTGGTTTTATCCAAATTGGTGGCAATCATGCCAAAAGCCTTCTTTTCACGTCTTTTGAAGTCCTTGTGGTCCTTAGAGCTTGCATCTATGCTTGGAGGGTCTTCACTCTCATCTACAATGTCCCAAAGGTCCAAAGACGCCAACAAAAGCTCCATTTTGACCTTCCAATGGTAGAAATTTTTGCCTCTAAACTTCTCAATTACTCTCAAACCTTCACCCTCACTAGAAGCCATGTTTAAGGAGGAGTGTATGAAAAAATATTGAGAGAAGGAGTCTCTAAAAGCTTAAAGTCACCAAACAAAGTTTGCATTAGCAGAATCTCAGAATGCCCTGTTATGAACAAAAGAGTGGTATCTCACTAAAAACACTTTCAACTCAACTTGTGAAGCTTTCTACAAGTAATTGCACCCTCATGGAACTCACAATCACTCGTCTTAATCACTTTCTCATCAAAACACTCAAGGATAATGAAGAAACTTCACCAACTCAAAAGACACTATCAAGGTCTTTCTACAAAGTCTTAACCTCACAAAGCAAGGAGATAAGAACCCACAAATCAATGTTAGAGATGTATAAGTTTAATACCAATAGCCTCCTTATACCAACAAACCTAACATCAACAAATACCATAAGATCTAATCCACACAAAAGCAACAAAGAGAAAATGACTTCAACTTACTTGAATAGCACAACAGAGAGTGAGTGGGCCCATAACCTATTGAAGAAATACTATAAGCATAACACAAGTAAGTAGAAATCAGCAAGGTTGCACCTAAGAGAAGTGTGGAATGAGATGACTCTTACTTCCAACATCCGTTACTTATAATCAGAGTTCACATCCAATATGTATAGACTTCATCCACATTCATCTATAACTAGCCGCCACTCGAGACCCTAAACTTAACCGCCTCTCGAGACTCTAAACCTAGCCGTCTGTCGAGACATTAAACCTAGCCGAGTGTCGAGACCCTAGTCGCCACTTAGTCCTTAGTTGCCTTTGACCATTAGCAACTTACCTAAGAGAATATTTTCTACAAGATAACTTATTTTACTTTTACTATTACCTATTTATCTCAACATCTTTGTCTTTTACCTCAACAAAATAGATCCAAGTTTTTATCCATCCTAACTATTGTGAAAAAAAGAAAAAAAGAAAAAAAGAAAAAAAGAAAAACTCTACATTCATTTCTCTACTTGGATCTACAACTAATAAAAACCAACCACAATCATCATGATTACCATATTCTTCTTGGGTCTATTTAGTAAAAGCATGGGTCTATTCAATATTTCCTTATTTGTATATATATATATATATATATATATATATGTATCTAGAGAGACACAAATACATAAAATATGTTCTTGTCATTTTTTATTTCTATTGGAGAATTATATAATTATATACATACTGAGATTGTAATGGGAAAACTAAAACTCATTAACCTCTCAAATTAGTCCATTATATTTTTTGATTAAAAAAACATAAAATAAATAATATTAAAACAAAAATCATCCGAATTTCATCCAGGAAACAAACAAACCATGTGGAGGTTTAGGAATTAATCAGAAAAAATTCCACAGCAGGACAAATCCAATGACTGGTCTAATCCATATCCATCCCGCGCAGAATTGTAGACCACACGAAGAGGAACTGCCACCTCACTCACTTTCATTCTGACGTGGTACACTTCTCCGCCCAGCTGGCACACGATCTCTCCACGTCACTCTCTCTCCCCTCTGCGTCAGTCCCCGTTGGCCCTTCCTCGTTTGCTCAGCGTGCCTCATTTCAATCTTGATTGTGCACGAACCGCGAAGCTTCGTGGATCCCCTGCCCCACTAAAAGAATTTTCCTCGAACGTGGTGACGATGCCCTGATAATGGACCTTGTGGTCTTGATTCATGGGTAACTTCCACATCATTCCCGGCCAAAGTGGCGGGAAGGAAAAGTAGGGCAGCGCCGTGCAGTTTGTTTCCCCTGGTGGTGGATCATGATGGGAGTGGCATATTAATTAATTAGTTAGTGTGTGGGCCCCAAATACACATAAATTCCAAAAGGGATGAACGAATGGAGGGGAGAGAGAGAAAAGAAAAAGAAAATGCTCTACTATGTATGTTTGTATATATATAAATGTATATATGTGTGTGTGCGCGCGCATGTAAACATATGAACATACATGTATACATGTTCAATTACATAGAACAATACAAAGCAAAATTGTGCCGACTAATCTTGTTTAATACTTGACATATGGAATGAACACTTTCATGATGGCTACCCTCTTTTTTTTCTTTTCCCTTATTAACAAAGACTAGAATAATGCACGTAAAGAAATCTAACGGTGATACCCAATTATTGTTGTAGTTGTCGTGGAACATCAAAGAGCTAGCCTCACGAAAAAGAAATAGAATGTATTTTCATTGTTATTATTATTTGAATCTAAAAGGCACACCAATTTCATTTATTTTTTTAGGGCACAAACTTGGTGAGATGAAATCATGTGGGACAAGGAAGAAGGCCATGAAATTACAAACGATTTTTCAACCAAGGAACAAGGATGGGGAAGCAGGGAGAGTGCCACTCTGGCACGGGTATACTTGCAGATAAGCATGATCCCGGTAGCCGCTGCCTGGGACGCGCGTTGCGGCGAGGGACGCTTCCAATGGCCAGCTGCGTCGCGCTCAATGCTAGCGGTGTCGGCGATCGCGGCACCCGACGACGACGAGGACGACGCGGGCAGCAAATCCGGGAGCCAGAAGGAGCTCAGGTGCTCCAATTTCCCCAGATCGTGACGCTGTGGGTCTCGATGCTCCATTTGGGCGGGTACCAGCCTCATTGCCGCAACCTTTCCTGGATTTTTCCTTTCTGCGATTGAAGGCAAAAGGGCCCAGTGACCCGAGCACTTGCCTCGCAACGTGGCTCACGGGCTCTTTCGTTCGGCGGTCTGTGCGAGATTGCATCGACTGTGAGTGAGCTAGTTTACGGTTCTTGAGCTCGTGGGCGCAGAACCAGGATGTGGGATTTGTTGGCAGATGAGGGAGCTCAGCGTTTTTTGGATCTAGATTTGGCTGCCCTCCATGGCCGCTGTTGCCGAGCTCGTCGGCACCAGGAGATGATACATCCATGTACCAAGAGGGAGGGCTGGTGAGAGTGAGAGAGGAGACGAGAGATAGAGAGGCGACAATGGTTGTCATCCCCCCCTTGCCCTTTTGCAAATTCCTGGATCGTGCTGGGATTCTGTTGACGGGGATGCGAAGCTTTGGCAGCATCAGCAGCAGCAGCTCAAATCATGTTCACGGTGACAGTAGACATGCTGATCTTTTAGCCCTTTCGCGAGGGGAGAAAGCAGTCGATCTCTCCTGCTCCGGGTGGTGATTTTGGTGACGCGGATGTTGATGAAGCGGATGCCTTGGCGGTACCATTTCAGTTGAGTGTCGGAATTTTGAAGCGTTGCTTTTGTCCAAGGTTGTGTGCGGCTCGTGCAGCAGCTTGAGCGGTTGGTGTCGGTATGGCAATGGAAGCTAGCATGATTGTCGACTTGGACTGGAGGGCTTGCCTGTTTTGTGGATTTCGCTCACGATCTTTCTGAAAGTGTAGAAAGGGGATCTGGTGACTTCAAGGAAAAAACATATTCCTTCTTAGTCCGGCGAGGTACCATCCGCAGCTTAGGATGCCACAGGATCGCTGGCTTGGAAAGAATTGACGAGGTCGGGGCTTGGTTTCTAGCTGAGAGGAGGGAGTTTCAGCGAGGATTGAAGACGTAAACTTATGGTTTTTCGAAAGACAATTTTCCTTCGGGGTCACAATTATGACCAACTGGGCCATGGTACGGTGGCTTCGGTCCCCTCGCGCTTAGTCTGATCGCATTACCACCTCCGGTGTAAAGGACCAAATCTTCACCCAAATCTTCACTGGAAGGCAAATGTAGTATGTAAATTTGAAGGGGACAACGGTTGTCTGAACAAAGCAGCTCGTTGCCTCCTCCTAAAGATTTGATTCCGTATTCCACAATCGTCTCGCATCGTAGCTGCAGATTGATTACATCGAGACTCCAGGTGCTTCCCGCGTGCATTTAGAGCTTGGAAAATGGGGTCAGTCGCGGAAAATTACCAAGCGGTGCCGAAGATCGAAGTCCCTCATAGTGATCACAAAGATCTCGAGGTAAATTGGATTCTTCAATGCTCCTCCATTCGCATCTCTCTCGAGCGTCGCTAGGCATTCTGAAACAAATGCAGAATCTTCCTAGAGCCGCAGCTGAAGTTTTTTTTGGGTTCGTGTGGAGACACCTTTTCGGTCTCTGAACATTGTGATTGGATTTTAGACAAGATCCTGGATATGACGTCTTGATATTGACGGGCCTTACTAATCAGTCTCATGTATACAGGGGTTCACTGAGTGCTTCAGATATCCGGTGAGTGTACACTTTAGTTTCAGAGCATGAGAGGGTTTTCACTACGTTCAAGTTGAATATTTCATTTCTTCGGCGATAACTTATCTCACTTCGGTGCATTGTTTGTTTCCTTCTTTCTGTCCACGCAGCTCAGGGGTCTAGTGGAAGAGAATGCGCCACCTTCGGACTCAAGGCTACATGGAAACGATAGCGTCAAGAGTGACCTTGCGCACACGCCTGGAGCAATCTGCTGCAACACGAGATGCAGGCCGAGAAGCCGGATTACGAAGCTGCCAACATATGTATCGCGAAGTATGTACCATGTGCTGTTTGGAACTAAGCTGTGCTGGCTGCTGCTCTGCGTCCCCGTGGCAGTGATCGGCGTTTCCTTCGGAGTGCTTGGACATGTAATCCCAATGAACGCTTCTGCTTGTGCCACCCATTGAGTTTTTGGTCTCTTCCCTTCACAAATTTATGAGAGCTGTCCCATTTGCCGACTTCTATCCTCCAATTACATCACAATGTATCGTAATGAGTAGTATTTGATTTTGGTGGGGGTTTGCAGGGCTGGATATTCTTGCTTAGTTTACTAGGAATGGCGCCCTTGGCTGAGCGACTTGGTTTCGTTACAGAGTGAGTTGCTCTTGGCTTTTTATGGATTAGTTTTCCTTATTTCTCCATCGCTATTCTTGTCATTTCACAACAGTTTTTTTTTTTTTTTTTTTTTTTTTTTTTTTTGTTTTTGTTTTTGTGTGGATGAACATATAACTATGGTTATGTTGAACCTAGAAATAAAGTTCTGCCTTGGTAGTGAGAAGATACACCCTGTCTGCTGCAGCTATCGTCTACTTTTCGCTCACTTCAGGTGTTTACAAGTTGGTAGTGTATTCTGGACCTATTGTTAATGTTTTGGTTCGAGAAAGGAGACGCACAAGTTAGGAAACTTGATGCGAAGGAACTAAAACAGATAATCGAAGTATTTTAACAAGACGTGTTTCGACATTTGCAGGCAACTATCATTCTCCACCGGTTCAACAGGTATTTGCTGACGCTAAACCCTCGCAGCATTGTGAAGCATGTTCGATCGAATACCTTGCAATCTGAGCTTCATTCTTGTAGGAAAACAAAACATTTTGCTGATCTAGTTCTCTCTTGCTAAAAAGTAACCTTTGTGACCTTTGTGCAGTTGGAGGTCTCCTGAATGCAACTTTTGGAAATGCAACTGAAATGATTATTTGTATCATGGCCCTGCGGAAGAATATGATACGAGTTGTACAGTTATCACTTTTAGGTTCCATATTATCAAACATGCTCCTTGTTCTAGGCTGCGCTTTTTTCTTTGGCGGTCTAAAGCATACCCATCAGGATCAGAAGTTCAACAAGGTAGTTCCCGACAAATTCTCTCTTCGCAGTGTCTGTCAGAACACATTAGGGTTTTCTTTCATCAGTTCGTTGGAGACAAAACCTTGTGGTTTGTTGCTATTGCAGGTTACGGCACAGGTTAGCTCAAGTCTGTTATTAATGGCTGTCATGGGTCTCCTGTTTCCTGCTGTTCTCCATGCTACTGGTACCGAGCTCCAAATGGGGAAGTCTGAGCTGGCTTTGTCGAGATTCAGCAGCATAATCATGTTGGTGGCCTACATAGCATATTTATATTTCCAACTTAAGACTCACAGAGAGCTTTATGACTCGGAGGAGGTGAGAATCATTTTGCCTGCTGTGTCCTTTAACATTGTTATTCACATGGGGTCTGTCGGCCCGAGTTTAGCTGTGTTTTCTTGCTAGTGAAAGGATATCTGTGGATTCAAGCTTTTTTTTTTTTTTTTTTTTTTTTTTTTTTTTCTTTCTTTCTTTCTTTCTCCTTGTAGGATTCGGATGAATACGATGGAGCTTCTGACGACGACGAAGTTCTGCTGGGTTTCTGGACCTCAATTGGGTGGCTCACCATTTTGACCATCTTCATTTCTTTGTTGTCAGAGTACCTTGTCGATGCTATCGAGGTATGGGACTGCCCGACTTCCTTACGATGCGTATGAACCTGCACATGGGTCGAGGAAATAGAATTTTAATCTGGACGCAATTCATCAATACCTGCATTAAGAAGATGTTTTTCTATACTACAACCTTCCGATTTCTTCTAATTAATTAACTAATAAGTTTTTGGTTTGATTCTGCAGGGCGCTTCAAATTTATGGAATGTGCCCATTGCTTTCATAAGTGTTATTATATTGCCGATTGTTGGAAACGCCGCAGAGCATGCAAGCGCTGTTATGTTCGCCTTGAAAGACAAGATGGTATGTCCTCTTACGATGACCATTCTGTCGACACGTCGAAATAACATAACCAGCATTGCAGTCGGACAATTCTTCTCTGGCAAGGTCTTGCACATCAGAGTGAACGATTCCTTACATTTCGGGTTATTTGTAATATGGTGTCATTCTAACTTATACCACCACATCTCTTCACTCTCGGCAGGATATCTCGCTGGGAGTAGCTATAGGCTCGTCTACTCAAATCTCCATGTTCGTGGTGAGTTGCGAACTAGCCTTTCATCGCCTTACCTGGGAACTGTTATGAACTTTTCTCAATGGGAAGCATTATGATTTAGGATTCCTAACACGTTACTTTGATGTTGCGCAGATTCCTTTCTGTGTTGTCATTGGGTGGTCTATGGGGACCCACATGGATCTCAACTTCGAATTGTTTGAAACGGCAACTTTATTCATAACAGTTTTGGTGGTTGCCTTCATGCTTCAGGTGGGTGGTTTTCTCCATTTCCTTCGATTAACTGACAGTATAGGGGATTATGTCTGCGTTGTTAGATTTTCTTAGTATTCTCAATCTTCCTCATTCCGGCTCTAAACTCACGACCTTGTGGTTGTCACAGGAGGGCACATCAAATTACTTTAAGGGCTTGATGCTGATTCTTTGCTATTTGATTGTGGGAGCCAGCTTCTTCGTGCACGTCGACATTCCGGACGCGCACCGTGCGTATCTTCCTCACATACGCCTTTGAGATTAATACATTCTTGTTTGAAGTTATATGTACAAATTCCAACAACTCTAAAAATTGGATTCTGAACGTGCAGCTGGAGCTTGAAGATTCACAAAGAGCTTTGGTGAAGGAAGTGATTCTTTAATGGCCACATTGTTCAAAGGTGACTACGGTCCTCTCGCAAGGCCCCACAGGGAGGAGCCAGACAATATTTTCGCAGCCTTTTGGCCTCTGTACTATATGTGTCAGTGCACGAAGTGTTCGCTGATGGACTTCGTTGATAATAGTATCTTTAACGTACTCTTCAAGCCCACTCTATGAAACTGGTTAAAGACATTCAAATTGCTTGTCAAATGTGGTGTTCGACTATACTTCCTGCCAACTTGGTCCGGAGGGCACATAAGTTACCAAGACAGATAATGGGGCTAATCTTGCTGTAAGATCATGAACGTCGATCAAAACATTACTAGATGTTGACAGATTATCTAGTCATCAAAACTGATCAAAACCGATGCTTCATGTTGAGAGATCTATACAGAAAGCGAAGGTGCAGAATTCTAAACTTTCTAGTTACTACACGTTGATCAACGTTCCTTACCCCATAAAAGCTTACTGCGGAGTCTTTCACAGAGTTTTCAGCAGTTGGGTTTCCAAATGTTGCTTAAAACTTCCTCTAGTTCTTGTGTTCTCAAATCTGAACATAAGACTGTTGAGGCATATGACACATTTAACAATAAGTTTCTCTATATGATTTTGTTACACAAAAGGTAGTGTTATTTATCTGCAGAGAATTTGATTGCGGGCGTCGTCATGGCAAAGTGTAGATGAGGTGTTTAATGTTGGTAACCAACATCGTAGTCGTAAAGGAAGACTGTATCCCCAGAGATGTGTAGCTAAAACGTGGAGCACAATGTGAACCATTTTCCCTCTAAAACTAGCCTTAAGCTCTCTTTGTTCAATTATTAATTCTGCACATTCTGCACAATTGTAAGTACTAATATGGTTAGGCCAGTTCATGCGTTACTGTGGTTACCTTTGTTTTGCCTGCCCTTATGACTGTCATTTCTTATGTTCAGCTTGCCCTTGCAGGTACCTTATTTTGACGTGACTTATTTTGACGTGATTTGATTTTTATATAAGAGTATGGTTGTGGCAAATTTGCTTTGCCTTCTTGCTTGGCTATGCCCATGATGGTTTTTCTTCGCATGTTTATGTTGAATTGTGACGTGTTTTGTATCTCCACAAGCCATCACATGCTGTTGATTTTCATGGTACAAAACAACAATGAAATAAACAATGAAATACATTGGGAAGGATTAAACAAAAGTTGAATGTTGTTGAAGCAACACATGCTTATACATAGAAAGCATTTAGGTTAATATTATGTTTAAAGCATCTAGACACATTTCACATAATCCAATCCATTATGCACATCTCTTTCTAACATAATATCTAAGGTGGAATGATAAATTTGCAATTTGTTTAACTAGGGTTTTTTAAAATCTATTTCACTACGTTAGTTTCTTACTTTTGAATAGAACTTAATTAATTCCTTAAGTATTATTTTTGTATTTTTTTAACAATTATGGGTGGTTTTTTTTTTGTGGTGCAATTTAATCCAAATTACTCATCTCGGATATTACATAGAAGTGGGTTTGAAAAAAAAATTAAATTTATTTTTTTTAAAATTACAAGTTATTACAAAAATTAGATAATGATTTAAATAAGGAATCAGATTTATTTTTTATTTTTTATTTTTTATTTTTAATATTGTGACCATTAGAAGCAACAAGTTTTGAATGTATGGATTCTTCATTTTAATTGCCTCTATAACATTTTTATTTAAAACAATTGGTTTTATATTTTTATTCTACATAGCAATATAATTGTACTAATGGGAAATGATATATCATGGAAGAGTATAAAAATTGGTATTATTTTTTCTAATATGCAGAAAAATTGAAAGATCCTAAATTAAAATCATTTCATTATTTATATAAAGATAAATTATTTATAGATTTGCCACTCTCAACACTCCATAATAGAATAGAGTAGCATAAACATTAAAACAAATATTTCTACAAAAATATAAAGTATATGAATAATATTAGACTAAAAGATAATTCTTGGATTAAAGTTGTGAACATTGCTAGAGTTGAAATAAATAAATAAATATATATATATATATATATATATATATTGAGTATAAAATACTTAAATATATGTAAAAAATTAGAATAGAAAATTATTCCAGATTAAATTTCAAATACTTCATTTATGTTTAGTTAGAACGTTATATTTATGTATGTATATATATATATATATATATATTTTTTTTTTCTAGTGGCGCACACCAGCATCCATTGGGGGTTTAGGACTCACACACCATGACCACCCAGTTAATGGTTATGTTGGCAGAGGGTTGTTTGTTGGGTTCACCGAAAACTCCCAGCTTTCAATCTCATGGTGTTGTTTTTGTCTAGTTTTTTCACAATGAGAGCATGACAGGATATGTGGTGGTAGGGTTGAAGTTAGTCCCCAATTTATGTCATCGAAAGAGTTGTTTTACATCGGTGTAGTTCACCTTTTGTGTTGTCAGGGGAGTAGTCTTACAAGCGACCTCAGATCAGATACATTGGTACAAATATTTTTTACAGATGCTGCATTGTGTCTGGGTGCTGCACATGTAGAATTAGTATTAGGTTTCTCAACAACCATACAGTGTTTTGCATACACTGAGAAGAATGCCACAGCAAGTGCTGCCGCTCAATTCTCAATTTCTCGCATTATGTGCTCCCTGTGCTGGAGCAGGAAATGTTTTACTCTCACTCGCATGGGTCTTTTTAATCCTCGAATGAAATAAAGTTGGAGTGAGGGTTTTAGCCGAACCTTGTTTCTCACACAAAACCGACTTTCGGCCTGCAAATTGTCGAACCCACTCCTGGTTTTCTTTCTTTTGCAATGTGACTTGTAACAATCTTGAGCGAAATCGTATGATTTGTAGCTGCTCGTTGGATGCGCTCCAATGGCCAGCCCATGCGCCAGGTGTTGCCCTAATCGTTGTCAAATTCGAAGCACTTGGCATTCCGGTAATCCGCTGCGACGAGAATTGCTAACGTATGAATGCGGTTGTCTATCATCTGCACTTCTACAACCTCTCCACACGGATGCATGCATGTGCCATGGGGGTGAAAGCGGTGCTGGTGTGAGTTCGTGTTCACATGCGGGAGACGGACATCCACACCGCTAATTCCACTCACCTGAGGATATTATGTTGGAGGTTCGCGGCATTGAGAAACTGCCGATCTTTACACGGAGAAAGAATTACAAGTAACCTCGGAACTTGGAAAGAAGAATGATGGGGGATGGTGATATGGCTTTTGCTGAGATCCAACGACCGACGGAAGAGAAAAAAACACCATCTTCTCTTCCAACTCCTGCACCAAATACGTCCACGTTGCGAACCAGCGGACTTCAACAGTTGATTGCACCTCCAGGCTTCTGTCGATTTCTGGAAGCCTTGACGACGACGTCGACACCCAATTTTATGTGTCGTAGGTGCCCTTCTAATACAGCAGAAGCCGGTTATTAAATCACGGCAGTGGATTGTAGAGGTTCGTTCTAGGAGACCGGCATAAATTTTGGTTTTTGAGTAGCAGAGTTTCTCTGTTTGGAAAAAAATCGTGGCTGAGTGAGTGATTTGAGAGAGAGAGAGAGAGAGAGAGAGCAAGACTTGGTGTTTGGTTTAGGAGAATGGCAATGGCGACTTCCATGTGTACCAATATAGCGACTGCTGCTTCGTGTCTGCAACGTTCTAGTCTTCGTTCCTGTGAACCAACCTCGAGCTCTGTATCAAATCTTGCGTCTTGGCAGTCGAAGTCGGTGAAATTATTTAGTAACAGTTATTCGAAGAGCGTAGGGAATGGATTTGCGAAGGAAAGCGGTAAGGGTAGTGGAGCAGCTAGGGCGACGGTCACTGTTGATAGAGAATTGAACCCAGTGAGTACTTCTTCTGTCTCTGCACCCTATTGACACACAAAGATTATGGGCAGCGTGGCAGTTCTTTCTTCATTTTCTTATATAGTTGAGTATGTGGAGGCTAACACTGCTTCCCTGCTTTGAATTGCGGCAGGAGCCAAGAAGTAATTTGGACCGAGAGGAGGAGAATTCAACGAGCGAGCTCCTGTGCTGTCCAATTTGCCACAAACCTCTTCAGAGAACTGGCCCCTCAGGCTTGACCCAGTAAGTCGTATGCGATGATGATTCCTTCACTTGCTTACTTCAAACTGTTGCGTAAACTGAATTATAGCTGCAAAGGTTGATACAACAACAAAAAAAAACTGACATTTGCAGAGTACCCTGTTGGATGTCTGCAGAAACGCAATAAGAAGCTCGGGATTCTCATGTCATAGCTGCAGAAGGAAGTTTTCGAATAGAGGGGATTATGTGGACCTCACCATTTTAGATGGAACTCGAGTGTATGACGAGAATACGACGGCTGGAGCTGAGATATTCAGGAGCCCAGTGGTTTCGTTTGTGTATGAACGAGGTTGGCGACAAAACTTCGCTCGCGCCGGTTTCCCTGGTCCTGATGAGGAGGTAATATTTCTTCATAATTTCATCATCGATATGAACCTCCGACCCTTTTACATCATCTGCTGCAGAGGCTGCAAAAGTTCAATTCTCTGTCTTGCTGTGGACATGTGTACAGTTCAAGATGGCTCAGAACTATTTCAAATCGGTTCAAGGAGGTGTCATCCTCGACGTCAGCTGTGGAAGCGGGTTATTCACCAGGCGGTTTGCTCAGAGTGGAGACTTCTCGTCTGTTATTGCTCTCGACTTTTCAGAGAACATGCTCCGCCAGTCTAACGAGTTCATACGACAAGACCCCTCGTTAGCAAACTCGTAAGTCATGGCAACATCTCTAATCCAGTCTTTCTCTCAATTCTCTCTCTATGGGGATTTCATGGAGTACAAGCTTTTGTATATTTTAGGGTAACCAGCAACGTGCCGGGTCTAATTTTTCAGGAACATAGCATTGGTGAGGGCAGACGTCGCAAGGTTGCCATTTGCAACGGGTTCTATTGATGCGGTGCATGCAGGAGCAGCTCTCCATTGTTGGCCGTCTCCAGCAGCTGGGGTATGCGCCTCAACTCACATGTGATAAGTTGGTTTTTTACTCTCCATTGCTATTGAAGTAAGCAAAATAAAAAAATAAAAATAAAAAAAAAAAAAAAAAAAAAATCGAACTCTCTTTTGATAGCAACCATGGAAATGATTGCATTCTCGAAAAACTATCCTATTTGAAACTCACGTACAAAATGAAAACTCCAAATGAGCAGATGGCCGAGATAGCCCGTATTTTGAAGCCTGGTGGAGTTTTCGTTGCTACCACCTTCCTCACCCCACTCCCCATCATCGACTTTGGTAACAAAGACATACGCAAGGTGGGTCATTCGCAGTACCTTAGTTTCTCATGCTACTTAGATGTTGCTCGTCCCTGCCGTCTTAGGTTTAGGGGAAAGCAAAATCAATCTTTTATCACCGATGCAGTTGTTAGGGTTTGTGCTGTCAATTCAAACGATTCTTCTTGGTCAACTGTGTGGGCAGGCTATCAAAGGAGCGATCAGCTCAAGCACGCTTCGATATTGGGATGAGGCAGAGCTGGAAGAGTTAATGGGCGTCTGCGGTCTTGTGGAGTATACCCGAGTTCGGCTCAACCAGTTTATCATGGTCTCTGCCAAAAGGGCAAAAGAGTGATGCACTTTGAGGAAGAAAAACTCCAGTCTTTTAAATTGAAACTAGCTTAGCATTCTTGTAAAATTGTCAAGCCGTAGTAAAAACTCATTCACATGAATACTATGGATCTTTCCGATGCGAACAAGCTTAGCTTTCTGAGTGCCGTCACGTATCAGATTCTGTCTGGTTTGATTTTTTGGCTTTTGTCGAATGTGAGTTTTCTTAGTTGTGAGCAAACCTAAAGCTATTCTCATACACTCAGTTCATGCATTCTAGCCTTAGCTTCTTAGCTCTGAAGCATAGTGTCCGAGGTTCAATTGGTCATGGAGACTATCCAGCTTAGTTCTGTGATTGAGCAGATTCAATTGGCAATTGGCAATGCTGTTTATTAACGTGAATTTAGGATTCGTCGAAGTTGATGAGTCTTGCATTGCCAAGAGCATCTCTGAAAAAGCTAATGCAGTTCTAGTGAGAATGTATCTATGGCTCCACTTCAAATGACTGGAAATTGTGTTTTGTAAGAGAAATGCATTATGTTTGTGTGAAATCTTTACTTGAAAAAATACAATGACTCCGTTTAGGCTTTTTTAGAGGTTAGATTGGTAAATGTCAGCCCCAGAAGACCTTAAGTCAAATTTTCTGGTAGATATTTTATTTAAAAAAAAAACATTTAGTATATGTTTAGGCTAAATACTTGGTAAGTATGTAATAATATTTTTATTTGAAAAATTATTATAAAATCATGACTAAAATATAATATTTTTTGTCTATTTTGTAATAGTTGGTCCATCAATATTCAAGTTTTTTTCTTTTATAGTTCTTTAATATTGGCGATTTTTGAGTTAAAAAAAAATCTAAATACAAAATAGATAAAAAATTATAGATTTGTTGTATTTGTAGAATAGCATATATATATATATATATATATATATATATTAAATACTACAATATTAAATTCAATTAAATATGTAGTTATATCAAAGCAATACAAGAAAAGAAGTAATTTTTGATTAAAATATATTTAATAAAATTTATAATATAGTCAATCCTATATTATCTAATATATTTGGTAGAGTGCAAAAATATCACATATCAAAAGATATTGATCTTTAGAAGAGAGCTTTTTGATTAGATAATTATTGTAAAGAGTTGATTGGATGTGTATGGAATGCAAAAGAATCCAACAACAAAAAGTTGTAAATCCACAAATGCAAAATAAAACACACAATATTGTTGTGTAAACCATTGTATTGCAACTTACAAAACCAACTGTCTTAAAATCTTATTAATACTCAAAGACTAGCAATATGCAAGAAGACGAACAAAGATCCGAGCATGAATCAAGCAACACTTGTAAGTACAAATGAAAAGTTTGACATGAAAAGCGTACTCTTCTAAAGCACTATTAATAATAATATCAGTAAGCAAACTTCTCTAGCAGACCTCAACAAAGTGAACCTTACTACAAAGTATAAGTATTTATCCAAGCATTTTCAATTAGACAAAGTGCGAGCAAATTGAATCCTCTAATGTCAGCATTGTGGTGTTGTGCTTTTTGATAGTTTGATATAAGAAAAAATGAAGAAGTTTGCTATGCTTTTGTTTCTGAATGATTGCATATATAAGAATTGTTGTGGTCTCAAAACATTCAAGCTACATGGTAAAAGCAACTTTGCAAATAACATTGCTATCAAAATTGAGATCCCATAACTCAAAGCAAAGTTCAAAGAAAAAGCATTGTGCAACATCAAGAAGAAAGACAAAACTTGCCTCTTTTACCATATGTCTCCTATCAAGATAAATGCCTTGAAAAAAGATAAAACTAAAACCATGGTTGTATTGACTACCAACACTAATGGATTGCATCAACTTGATTCATTCTACATTGGCTGCACTATGAAGCTTCATATATCAAAGAAAAAGCCTAGAAAATATCTTAGCTTCTATTATTGAGCAAAAAACAAGGCATGAATTGTCATGAATACACTATATAGGAGACCAAATAAGAAGTTGAAGAGAAGAGTTTCGATAAAAAACTAACAAGAACTTGATTAAACTAGATGAGTACAAAATCAACACCAAGATAAGCAAGCTAGAACTTCAAGAGATGTGTTGTTGAGATGGATGATCCCCTTAGTCTCAACTCTAATATATTTTAGGTATTAGGAAAGTTCTCAAGAAGTTTCTATGTTGCTTGAAGATTAAGCAATATTAAGAAGTTCCTTAAGAAGTTTTTATTTTTCTTGAAGATAAAGCAATCCTAGGAAGCTTCTCAAACAACTTCTTTAATCTTCCTAGACCTTTCTAAAACTTACTAAAATATTCTAAGAACCTTCTAAAATCTTCTAAGAATCTTTTAGAATCTTCTAAAATATAATAGAATATTTAAAAAATATTTCTAGAATCTTCTTGTTGAATGTTCGTAGTATGAATGATTAATCTATTATTTCAAAGATGGCTCAAGAAATTTGATTAGGAAATGCAAAGCAAAAAATAGAAGATTTTTTTACTAATAGACAATGTATTGTTTCATATAATAAAAGGTGTGGATATCTTAACTGTTAAAGTCATATTTCTATCCTTAAATATAATCTCTAAGATCTACCTAATGGATATAGGAATCATTGCAATTTTTAAAAGTAATATTGATGCTTTTAGCTGCAAGATGCAATAGATTGCAACAAATAGCCTAAAATGATATATGTAAGATTGATCAACTTATTGCCATGCATTTGTGCAATTCCATATAGATGAGCATTTCTCCTAATGTTATTAGCAACTACTTTAAGCACACCATGTTGATCAATCAAACAATTGACAAGCAAGCAGAATTTGAACAAATGCACATGAATGAAGAGCTTGCCATTGCAATTAAAAACTTGAGCATTAAAAATCGGATGTCAATTTTATTGCTTTTAAACCCAATTGAGGAGGAGATGGCACATGAAGATCTCATCAATGAAGAGATTGTTAGGATGGTGGTTGATACGACAAGTCATGAGCGTAAAAAAGAAGTAAATAAAACAATGGAATTAGAATTGGTAGAAAAGGATTAACTTACAATCCATTAGAGTTTTTTTAAGATCCCTGATCTTTTGATTTTGTTTCATGGCATAGCTCATAAAATGGCACAATGGATTTAGAAAGAAATTTGAAACTTAAAAAAACACCAAATGTCTCTTGATAGCTGATTTAATAAATTTAGGATTTCTAAACTTCTATAATATTTCTTTTTGCTTCTTGCATGTCTTTTCACTATTCGTTGCCTTAAAAATGCTCCCTCCTTAACCTAGTATCTCCTAAAATTTGTATTGATTATTAAAATAGAAAATTTATTAGTTTAGAATATAAGAATAAATATTTGAGAACTAATATTTTTTATTGAATATGCAAGAATATCATTTAATAGAAAATTAGATAATAAAGGATTAAATATAAATATAAATTTATTTTATAAGTAAATAAATATATTTATATATTTTTATAAAATATAATTTATTTGGTTAAATGTTATTTTTTATTTTAAGATAAGATTGTAATTAATTTTTTTAAAAGAATATTTACAATATCAAACCATCTAACCAAAAAATATCTTTTATCAATGTTCAAGAATCATCGTATTTTAGAAATAATAGAAATTTGAAGACATAAATTGTATTATTAAAGTCTAAATCCAAAATATATTTTTATTTTAAAAATATAAATAATATATAGATTACTAAAAATAAAATATTTAGAAATATTTAAATAATATAAAGCCTTTATAATATCAAAATTAATAAGATATATAATACTTTGATAGATTATTGAAACAAAATTAGAAAACATTAAAATAATCTATGCTATATGTAAATGAAAATAAAAAACACTCATATTATTTAGAATAGTATTGAAGAAGATATGGCTTAAAAAAATGGTCTTAAAAAAAGATTGTCAAAATAATATGATAAATCCTATTATTTTAAAATTTAAAATCTTTGCATCTATTATAATAAGTCACTATGTACGAGTTTGATGAATTATTAAGTGATGTGAAGCATTACTAACTACCTCTTCTATATTTGTAAGCTAATAGAACTATTGTATTTTGAAATAAAGTTTTTAAATATTTATTTAATATGGATTTTTTTAAAAATTATTTTTAATATAAAATTTAAAACTTTGTAATATAAATTAATTTATATCAAATATAGAGAATTAAAAATAATATAAAATAATATCAATTAATATCATTTAAGGTCACAAACATATATATTTAATCTAATACCTACCTATATGATTAATTAGAAGTAGGTAAAAGTAGATTTATTTTATTATATTTTTTAGAGATGATTCTTAGAAGCTTTATATATATATATATGGAGGCAAGAATAAAGCTTTCTTCATTCTTATCAACGACTTTTTAGTCCTTAGTCCCTTTTTGAAGACTTTCTAATATTTTTGTCTTTGGTAATAGCCATTCTAGTTTAATATTATATCATTTTTGAGTGATTTTTTAGTCTTTTTGAGTGATATAAGAAAGTATTGATATTTTTATTTTTTGAGGTTCATGTCTTTGATAGTTTAAGAAGAGTCCTAACTTATTTTTCTTATCTTGTTTTAGAAGTGAATGAATTATCTATCTTTAGGTAAATTATTTAGTTTTCTAACACCAATTTTTTTCCTTAAAGAGGATAAATTAATCCTCTTTGTAGAAATTTTCATTCAATATTAGAAATTACAGATAATAATCCTCTAATTTGACTTGTGGATTGTTAAGTTGTTTGAAATAGAAGGAAAAATCATAGATCTTATACTTAATCAAAGTAAGAATAGATTTGCAACTATTGCAAATCTTCACAAACTTGTCAACATTCTTGGAGTGTAAATTTCACTCATTATCCATTCCAACTATAGAAATGCTAATCCTATGCCTATGGAAGAAGTCCAAAATCTATTGTAAGAAGTTATGCAGTTGAAAGAAGCAAGTAAATTAACATCATAACCAAATCTAAGCAGTTTTGCTTTTACAAGTACAATAGAGACATTAATTAGGTAACCAAATAAGTTTGATGGAACGAGATTAAAATTTCAAGGATTTTTGCAATAAATCAAGCTTTATCTAAGATGGAATTTCTTCCAATACTTTGATGAATTTATTCAAATTGAGTTCATAGAAGCACTTTTATCTAAAAGTGATTTCTTTTTATTTACATCATTAATAAAAAAAAGATCCACAACTCTTTTATGATTTGAATTCATTTTTAGAAGTGTTTATGGCTACATTTAGAGCTAGTGATTGAAAAAGAGTAGTAGAGATCAAGCTTTTATCTCTATGATAAGGATCACAATCAGCTACCATATATCTTGCTGAATTCCAAAACCTTGCTTGCGATATGGATTGGAATAACAAATTCTTTATCAATGAATTTTGATATGGGTTGAAGGATAATGTTAAAGATTTGTTATTAATAATATTGAAAGTAGAATCTTTGAAACA